TAGATGAACAAAGAGCTAAAAGATAACACAAGCTGAAGTGCTTTAAAATTATGATTTAGAAGGCCTCTAATTTGCAGTATTACAATATAGCTGTTTAGTTTGGAGTGATAAATGGACACGGGCATCCCACAGGTGGCTGTGGGACATGTAGGGGTTCCCACTGGGGTGTCCTGCAGCGAACGAGGAGGACAATACTCTTGGCTGCGAGAGGTCTAGTATTGCCCCCGTGGAGGTGACACCTACCACTGTCTCACTTGTCGTCTTCTCTTCCCAACCAGGAGGGGATTTCGGTACAAAAGCCAGCGATCAGAATGTTTTGGGTGGAATTTTTCTGTTTCATTACATGTGACACGTTCGAGACTGAGTTTTGCTGCAGCCTCGTAGCCGATGGCGGTGGGCAGGAGAGACGAGGCTTCACTGAAATGTGGAGCAAACGTACACAAAGAGAAAACGGATAAAAACATTAAAATGACAGCTTGCTGAGGTGGCTTTTTGTCGGAGCGGCTGCAGCCTGATCACAAAGTGATGTGCAGCAGTTGACACGGCCTGCTCCGACGCGCGGAAACAAAATCGATGCTTAGTTTGCCCCGCTAGGCCGGGATTTGCTACGTGCACAAAATTCCCCAACCGGCCCACAACAGGTGTGCCAACAAAATTGTAAGCCTACAAAGAGATGTGTCCGTGCCGTAGGCTGGAATCAAACCTCTAATCAAACTTTGTCCAGATGGATTCAGAGGTTTGACCAAGGAGCCGTGTTCCGCAGCTCCAGTCCATCGTTAATTTTGAAATGCGTTAGCGGCCCATGCAATGTGACAGCAGAGATGCAGCAAACGGTGTCAGAGTTAATAAAAAAAACCTCAGAGCCACAGGAAGTGTAAGTGTTTTGGGCAAAATTCTGGCATCAGGATCAATGGCCACATTCCCACTCCCTTCCGCAGCGCCGGGATTTCACCCTTTGCCTATAGAAAAGTCAGCGGATACACAATAAGATGAATATCCATTACACTGCCTTTTATTCTGTAAAAGTCCTGGGTTTAGATTCTGAACATAATTACCAATGAGCTTTTGTTTAGCTCACCAAGGTCAATTAAAGTAATTCCAGAACTTTTGGACCAAGTTTTGTGTAGATCATTCTCTCTAATGCATCCGTCTGTCATGAACTACTCTCATCTTCTATTTTCACTTAATTCCCTTTGAAGTTACCTGTATGCCTACAGTTAAGCCTCTTTTAAAAATCTTTACAGAAACAGGGACATAGTTTTTTGTAATTCTCCATTCAGCTGGTGTGGTAAGAGTAATAAAAAAAGGCTGTGATGTATGTAGAATTACATGCTGTGCTCTTCCTCCGAGCTGCTGCATTTCTATAGCTCTACAAAAAATCCTGTCTGCAGGGAATCTTGTTGTGGTTAAAAATCTATATTTTCGTTTTCTCCATTTGTTCTACAAAACTGAACTAACAGGCACGACAAACATACATACAAATGTGCATACAAATATTTAAGAACAGCAATCACACTGGGAAGGATGCTGGAAAAATATGCACTTGTTTTAACCAGTATAAAAGTATTTTTTCAAAGACTAAAAATGGAAAATACTCACGTGCTAATTACTATAGGATGTGCAAACATAGGAACGAGGTTTTCTTATGTGCTTTTAGAAATTATCTGAGATACGTTGTGTCATTCAATTCACATATGAAATGTTAAATTTACATTCCTACTGGATCCAACAAGATTATTTTATCATCTACAGCGAGAAATAACAAATACCCATAAATAGAATAAAACCTGCTTGCATAACGTGTTATTTTTTAAAAGAAAAAGATAACTTATCCTCGCTGCTGCCAAATATTTAAGCCATCTCTGTTTGTAGCGTTCCCTCAAAGCTCAAGGACTTCAGCTGGGGAAGCTCTTGTGAGTGGTGTTGGTGAACACACGCGCACCCGCGGCAGCGAGAGGATCCCCACCTTCTGCAGCCACAACTGTTGATGAAGAGGAAAAAAACAAACCAGGGGTAAAAATTTAAATGACAGGTGCCAACTTCCCAGTTGTACCCCTGGTATGCCAAGGACCTCCTGTTTGCCCATGGACAATGTGACACCGCATTTAACACAGTGGAAAAGTGCACTTTTTGCTTGTTTTCTAGTTAGGTAACAAAAAAGCACAGATATCCCCATTTTGCACACAAAAGCAAGGCTTTGGGCACAGACTGAACCCAGGAGGGGTGGCAGCCCGAGGTGGCCTGGCTCCCGCATCCATGCAGGGCAGCCGGGACAGCTGCTTTCTCACAGGCTTTTATCAAACCTGTCCCCTTCTCCCCCCCTAAAGTGATGCCTTCAAGCACCAGCTTGGAAAGGCCTCGTCTAGCCCCGTGCAGAAGCAGTCAGGGCTCTTGTAAATAAATAATAGGCGCTCTGCTTTTCTAGCTCGGGTTATCCTACAGTAGCAGTTTCAGTGTAAATCTTTTCCATCGCTACTCTTCTTTTTTTTCAGCCTGCATTTCTGAAACCCAGCACTTTCTTTTGCTCTTCCAGAAATGCCTATAACAAGCTGAGCCAAGGCAGTCCTTTCCCAAATGGGCAGTGAAAGAGTTAACAATGCCCTTTCATGCAAAACCGCAAACAACTGGGGGGAAAGAAAAAAAAAAAAAAGTTTTTTTAACTGAGAAATGGAAAGGATCCAAATTCTAACTGAGAGTAAAAGCACAGAGAGAGTATGAAACACACAAATCATCCTGGGGTTCGGAGTTGATAAAGTTATTAAAAAAGAAAAAAGGAAAGGAGGGGGGGGGGGGGGAAAAAACCTCTTTGTTTTTGCCCTATACCTTGGGGCT